AAGTTAACAAAGTTAACATAGTTTTCTAAGGATCTACATTAGGAAGATCATCCTAATGATTTTTAGTGTAACAATATCATCAACCAAAAAATCAATGATATTTATAAAAAAAAAAAAGAATATTTGGTAAGGATTTTAATTATATATATTCAGAAAAATGAAACAAACTTGAACTTTATGAAGGTAAATTTATTTCATTTTATTTTTTTTTATTAAGGACGATTTTTTATAACAAGTAAGAGGAGCAGTAATATACATTGATAATTACGTATTTGTTTTTTTTATTATTTTTTTAAAAGATAAATTATTATTATTTCCTTTATTTCTTTAATTTCAAAAAAAAAATCGATGATAATCTATCTTTCCGTGATTTGAATCATCACACATGAACACAGTTACGATTAGCCTTCGGCATTTTGAAACTGATTGATTCCTAATGTCATGTAACATGCACTGAAACAGAGACTGAAATTTTCATTTGTTTTAGCAAAGAAACAAATTTTTGTTAGTACGAATACTAACATGCATCATTCTATGAACTTTGAGTCCAATTTGCCCACAATTTTCTCACATAGAAATAATCCTTCAATAGTTTTATAGAAGAATCATACCTGACGATAACAATGACTTGATATAGATGTATTTATACAATTTTTTAGAAATGTGGGATTAAAGATCATAATCTTACGAACCAAATTCAAAAATTTATTATGTTAAAATGATGTGATGTGTGTTACAACAATTTATTTTCTCTCGCTAAAATCTCTTAAGTCTGAATAATATCGGTTGGAAATTGAATATCTTTATGTTATAACTTTTCATATATTAAACCTAAATATCGTATTGTTTAATGATTTTTCTTTCAAATATTCTTTTATCGATGATGGCTTAAAATTGTAATCAAGGATTATGATTGAATACCTATTTGCAAAAATGTATTTGACTTATAAAGGTGATTGAAATATGCTATGTTCAAACTTTAGTTTTGGAAGCTTGATTGAATATGCATCTACGAAGATGCTAAATTAATTTATAATATTAATTTATAACTCGCTCAAAAAAGCTTGAGCTAAAATTGCTAGCATTTCTGAAAATTTGGAATTGACTGAAAAAAATGAAGTGCTTTTATATACAGTATTTCTTAAAAAAAAATAATTTACCTTCTAAAAATAATTTTTGCTCACACCATTGACATAGATACAGTATGTCTTATTGTCCCACTCAACTCAATTCCTAACCACATTTTCATATCCAATTTTTAGACAAAATCTTTAGGATTGATAATCTTAATATCGGACGCTACACTTTGGAATATTAACGTTGGAGTATAGAATTTAAAATACTGTATTCTAAAAATAAAAACTTATTAATATTTATATACAAGTTGATTATATTTTAAAAATTAAATTAGGTTGATGCTCCCATTGCACACTTTATGATCACATAATTTCGTCTTTTGTGTTGTATGCAAACGTTATAAAACAATGATTACATCATACTTTGACTAAAGCTTGTCACATTTTGTTGAAATGCCCGCTATCATTCATTGTGTACTAAAACCTTTTTTAACATTTTTTTACATTGCAAAATGTATGAGGATATATATATTTACCAAAAAAACATAATGAAAATACTAGTCATCAAAGCTGCGAATAATGCAGAAAAGGGAGAGATAAAAATGATAACCTTTATATTGGCAATCTTTTTGTATTTTTAGATGAACATTACAAGCAAAAAGGCATCGATGTAGAAAGAGTCAGTCAAAGAGAAAAAATGATGAAGAGGAAATTGTAAAGAAAGAGAGCTTTTTTATGTAAATATGTAGGTATATATAATGCGAAAAAAAATGTTCAATACTAATGAACTTCATGTTGAGTCGATTGTTTATGGTATATCAACATCAGAAAAAAGATTAAGGGACTTATGAATTTACAACATTATTTAATGAGCATCGAGGTCATATCAATTTACAAGCAAGTAATTTTTTGCCACAGTTTTGACGGATATTCATTTTTGGAAATTGACGGTGATCTTAAAATGATATTGAATACTCGTGAGTGAATATAAATGGCGAGTTATTAAACAGGATTTGTATAAGCAATTTATAAGGTAAAATTATATATATCATTGTTATAGTGTTATAATAACACATATCAAATCACAATTCGAGATTTTGATTTATTATAAATTCCAGTTTATCGAATAAAGATGATCAAAATTATAAGTATGATAATATTTAAAACGTTAATATATCAGAACAATTTTAAGAGAAGTTCACATCTTACAGATTGGTAACAGAAACGTTGGTCAAGCATTGCATTTCGATCAAAATTTTGCAAGTTTCTGCATAAATTTTTTTGCGTGCGTGTATAACATCAAATCACAAACACCACAACCTATTATAAATAAAATATATATACATTAGCAGGAGAGAGATGGTAAGAAAATTGAAATAACATCATTTACTTATTTATTAGGAATAAATATTTGTAATTGATATGTTTTTTCAAAGAAAAAGGTCTCAAAGTCTAATTTGTATTGCAACTAGTCTAAAATCACTAATATTATTGATTTTTGAAATTGAATGGAGCAGTAAATAAAAAAACGCATATTGTTCGAAGCTTTTGGTCCCATTTTAATTCATTGGACTTTTTGTTGTTATTAGCCGGTTGACTGGAAATTGAACTTATACAAATTAATTCAATCCTTTGAATTAACTTTATCACAATCGCGCCTGCATGAAGATATGGCAAAAGGTAATAGTCTTGATTGAGCTCTTAGTTTATTCACAAAACCCTACCTCGAGTTATCTTTTAACTCAAGGAAAATACATGTTATTTACTATAAATAACTAATAATAATATAATAAGATAAATATGTCTAATATAATATATTATATATGATAAATATAAAATAAAATAAATATGATAAAACTATCTATGTTGTCTTAGTTATTCACTTTGTCAAATATACTCTATTAATGATCTGATCATTTATTTAAAATATAATAAATTAATTTAGTCTTTTATAAGACGAAGTTTATGTGAATTTGCTAGGGTTTTTTAATTTTCGATTAAAACTAACAATTTCTATTAAGATAAGAACAAGTTTTAATTAATGGTCCTTGTGATAGCTGCGGCTTTTGCAAATCGATTATTGAACTTTAAATTAATCTACTGTACAAATTAATAACATGAGAATAAATTGTTATTTCGTCGCAATTACTACTAATCGATTAAATTTAAGTAGAATGTTATGTAAATTTTTCTTTTATAAAAAACAAGTTAACTATCTTTCTATTATTTTGAACAAATTTTTCGAACTAGAATATTTTATGAAGAATCTTAATTGTATCGAGAAATTCATATTATTATAATTTGGTATATCAAGAGTAGACTTATAAAATAAAATGAAGATGAAGTATTTTACCGTAGGATTCATTTACAAAAAATTGAAAAAAAATATTTTTGATAAACCCAATCGACTGAGTTTAAGACGAATTTTAAGACCGATAAAAGACTAAAAGATTTATAGAATAGAAACCAATCCTTAATAATTTGAATACTTATCTCTATAAATAAAAATCTGTTGGAGTTTTCATGGCCAAGCTAACTTGATTTTTGTTATAAATTTTTGTTAAAAAAAATCTTTTTTTAAGAAAATTTATTCAATCGAAATTTTTTTAAATTTTACTATTTTGGAATATAAAAACACTTTGTTTATTAAGAAAAATCCTAATATTCAAATTACTCTTTTATATATCTCTCTTGGTCAAAAAATAAATAAACGATCATATAATTAATTTACTCATAATTATTTAAGGCAAACGACATTGTAGGATTTGATAATATTAAATTTCACTAAGTTTCACAAATTAAAAATTAATGCAACAATTTTGCAATATTATCATAAAGTCTGTTACCTTTTTCATGGAGTATAACTAAAGTTGAACCAGTCCATAGAATAAGGACTGGTCGGCTACCTATTTATTATATCTGTGAGGGTAAATTCTGTATAAGGAAATACAAGCTATGAGAAAATATCTAAGCATTAAATAATTTTAGATATTTTAATTAATTAAAAGTAGTAAATACTAAAGTAATTAATTAGGTGATATCAAATATAATTTAATAGGTAGGAGTATAACTGGTTCTATCATGTTCGACAATATTTCTGGGTAAAGTATGTTCCTCATTAATGTGTTTGGGCAAAGTATATTCTTCATTAATGTGTTCGGGTAAAGAATGTTCTTCATTAATATGTTCAGGTAAAATATGTTCCCCATTAATGTGTCCGGGTAAAGTATGATCCTCATTAATGTTTAGGGGATAGTGCTTTCCTATTTTCATTCCACCTATAAATTAAAATCTATAAGCAATAATAATAACTAAAACTTCAATACCTCCTATTGATGCGATTATAATTTTAATCATACCTAATTCATTTTTGGAATTAACAACAATTATGGAAGTCTTTGGTGGCAATGGTTTAAATTTTGTTTTTACATTTGCGTCTGTTACTTATTATGAATTAACCTATTTATAATTTCTAATATCCATTATATAAATAAAAGGATTCGATAATGGTAACAGAGCAGAATTAGGTTGTGTAATATTTCCTATTGGAATAAATAGCAAATAAATTTTTTATAAATTTTAAAATTACTTTTATAAAAAAGTGTAATAAATTTACTTATCGAAAGCTACAATTATATAATTACCAACTAAGTTCATTATGTGAAAAGTAAGTGATGGTGGAACTTTACCAATATTTAAAGTAACTGGTAATGCAGTCAATTCAAATTCTTCATTTTCCATATTTAAAACAAATAAATCTGAAACAACTTGAACTTTAAGATTCTTAAATCCTCCATAAATAATTATTTTACCACCTGGTGATATATAAAATGAACAAATAAATAAGTAGTTTTAAGATATGCCACATACTGTCAACAATATTTTATACCCAATACTGCTTTATGTCCTATACGATTTTCAATTACGCTTGAAGTTTTTGCTATCTATTCATAATTTAATACATTATCAATCATTAATCATTTGAATTTAATTAAAATTTTTATTAGCATAATAAATATCTTATCTGATCAAGTTAAGGATTTTGTATCATAAAGAATAATATGCTTTATATCAACATATTGTGATTTGACGCCTACTACATATTCAATCCCACCAATATATACTATAACTCCATTTGATAATAACATTGTGGTATACCAGTCTCTTGGTTTAGGTAAATTAATTGCATTGATTTTCCATGATTTTTCATTAGTATTTAGGATAACCATATCATTTTTATTGGTGAACTTAAAAATTTATCAGTATATCTACCAAAAATATACATTTTCCCAATATCATCGATAATACTCTGTATACTGGTGCGTCTTTTAGGTGGCATTCCTTCGATATTAGGTACATTCCACATCAAAGTATTTATATTAAATTAAATGAATGAATACTTGATAAATATAAATCTTGATTTAAAAGATTAAGTGTATATCCACCATATAAATAAATAATTATCTCATTATCATTTAGTGAAACAGTTTCATAGCAGCTTCTAAATGTTATTTCTGGCGTAATTTCAATCCAAGGTGGAGTAGCTAAATTAAATGACCGAGATAAATCAAGATAGAATGTTTTATTTGAGCATTGATGTCCAGTAAATCCATTAAAGAAATAAAGTTTATTTTCAATGAGAACAGAGGAATGACCATAACGCCTCACAGGAGTAAATGATTTAACTCTAAGTAAAAAATAGCTTAATATGAAATGAAAAAATCAAGTAATTTATATCTTTTGTAAATCATAATTTTAATTAATTCAATTTTTTTTTTAAAAAAATAAAATTAAATTACATTTTAAGGAGATAAATTTACATCAATGTTACATACTGCATTGTAAACAAACATTAATGCGATCTCTTTTTTGATGTTACTATTAATCAAATCGATCTATCAGAATATCGGGACAGTTTTTTTTTTTTTTTTTGTTAAAGCACCTTTATATTCATTTATTCGTATATTGAATATTTTAGAAAAAAATATGACTTTTATAATATACAGTCATTTATTAAGATTAATTATGGCCGAATATAAGAAAATCGGAATAATTTGTAAATGTACTTCAATGTTACATGACATTATATTCACATAATTTTTGAATTAAAAAAAAACTTCATTACCAAATTAATTTATACGTGCTTTAATCAAATACATTTAAATATTGTATTTTAATTTTAAAAATTTTATCTTAATGAATTTTTTTTTAAATAATTTGATTATAATAAGTAAAATTAAACAAAGTTTTATTTATTTCTTACAGTATTAAAATTTAAAAAATTTGTTGTATCAAATATTATTTGATTAATTATGGTAAAACACGAAAAAAAATATATTAAAATATAAATATTACCATATCTTATATGAATTTATGATTTATAAAAGAATAGAAATTCGTTGTTAAAACAACCATTTCAAAAATTTTCAGTTCTTGGAAAACATCATTTCTACATATTTTAATTCCTCTACCTTATGAAAATTTATACAGTTTATTTGTGATAAACAATTCGTATCGTACCAATTTCAATTTTCTGCTATTTGGTCTAATTTAGCATGCTTAGCATGATGATTTTTAACAGATGATAATATTATTTATTTGATAGTTAACTTTTACCTTGTGTTGAAATAGATCTGAAATCATAGAAATATATTTCTTGATCTTCAATTTTCTGTTGAGTTTTCAATTTATATATAAAGTATAATTTGCTTTTATTAAATTGTTATAAAAGTTCTTAAAATATCTCATAATAGTCATTAATTGCTATATTTAAAGTTTTTTTACAAAACCCAAGACTATATGGGAGCTTTGCTATTAAAAGTGGGTTCCGAGACTATAAATTGATTTTGAGTAAATGGATGATCAAAAAATAG